GTTACTTTAATAATACTTTAGTATGACGAGATGATCTACAAAAATCAGCCAATCACAATAAAAGTTCGCTATGCTACGTACTGTTCTATACTCAGATTGTATAAATTTGGATTACTTAAACGTCTTTTCAAAATCTAAAAATGTCTTTGATATTTTTAAGAGTTTTATGGATCCTAATTCTACTCATATTTTCAAATTTTGTGAACGCCCTTTGGCCACTACCACAAAATTGGACAAATGGCACTTCACTTCTCCGTGTTTATCCTAGCCTCGCTATTAATTATGATCCAAGATTCTTAAATTCATATACGGATCAATTAATAGAAACAGCCAAGCATCGGTTGCAAACATTTTTGAAAGATGAAAAACATCTTTCGCCTAATGTTAAATTCCAAATTCCCGAGGATGAAGGAATTAATTCAATATTAACATTATCGAGCATCCAGATTGAAATAACTAATAATAACAAAAGAGATCAGGATGATTTAGAGATAGTTATTGATTGGACTTATAATAATGAGATGAGGGAAGGAATTCCGTTGGGAACAGATGAATCATATGAATTAATAATACCCGATAAGAAAGAAGATGATAAAACAGAACTAATGGCACATTTGAAGGCACCGACAGTTTATGGAATTTTACATGGTCTTAACACATTTTCACAATTATTATATTACAACCGATCAGAGGACAATTCAGGATTATTTCTTCCATTTGCACCTCATCATATAATTGACTTTCCAAAATTCATGCACCGTGGTCTCTTACTCGATACTTCACGGAACTTTTATCCAATTAAAGAAATTCTTAAAATTTTAGATGTAATGAGTTGGAATAAAATGAACGTGTTTCATTGGCATATTGTGGATGCTACTAGTTGGCCAGTGGTTAGCGAAAAGTACCCAGAGTTAAGTGAGAAAGGAGCATATGACTCTAAGAAAATGATTTATACAAAACGAGATATCAGGATTGTTGATGAATATGCTAGAGCGGTACGTTTTATAGTTTTAATTAAAGAATTGAATATTCAAGCATAATAAAGGGTGGCCAATTATTTTTTTAGCTCAGAATATGATGCAATCAATGTCTTGCTTTTTTTTTTTTTTTTTTAGGACATGATATATTAAATCACATAATCATCTAGATATTAATCGCATTATTTTACGAGTTAAAATAAAAGTTTCTAACGATAATTGGTCACTATCTGTGCTGACAATGTCTTCATCGATAACCTTAAAATTTAATTATGATTATATAATTTAATTATTATTATAATTTTAATTTAGAGGGGGATCAGGGTTATACCAGAGTTTGATATGCCGGGACATACACATGCTATAGCCGCAAGCATGCCAGAAATGTACGTTGCGTTTTATTACAATTTCTTAGTATTATATTTCTATGAATTGGACAATTCTATATTTTACATTGATTTATCTGTTTTTAATTAGTATGACATGTATAGATATGTATCCGGATTGGGATCAGGTAATTCTAAAATCAAATTACTTTATATTATTGTTTATGATATAAAAGTGATTCCCCACCGGCAGGGTTTTATATAATAACTTTACAACAATTGTATTGACACAAAAAGTATTCTAGTGAACCACCAAGTGGCCAATTAAACCCAGCTATACCCGAAACCTATACTTTTCTTAATGAATTGATTCCTGAGATAGCATCTTATTTTACTGACAAATTCTATCACGCGGGTGGTGACGAAGTAAACTTGAACTGTTGGGAATCACTTGTTCAACAGAATGAACATACCAAAGAATCCTTGTTAGATAAATTTGTGACCAGTCTCTATTCAATAATTACAAAGGAAGGGAAAACACCAATAACGTGGCAAGAAATGGTAACGGAGCATAATTTAGAGTTGCCGAAGGATACTGTGGTCCAGGTATGGAGAAATAGTACAATGGTGAAGAAGGTAGTGGAGAAAGGGTATAGAGTTGTGACTGGCAGTGGAGATTACTGGTATTTGGATTGTGGATACGGTGGATGGTATGGCAATGATGTTGAGGGGGTAAGTTGGTAAGTATAAGAACCAAGGAAATGGTTGGAATAAATTTATTAGAGAATTAATTATTGATTTTTATGATTTCAATTAATTTAGGTGTGATCCATATAAAACATGGCAGAAGATATATTCGTATAATCCTATAGAAGGGTTATCGGATGAAGAAGCCAAATTTGTTATCGGAGGTATTTATTGAGGAAAACACACTTTTGTCGACTATGTAACTCTAACACCATGCATAGAAATTAAAGGTCCTCTGCTTCGCTCCGGATAATTATACCGTAGTGTTGTGAAATAACGGGTTATTTTTTATATATACTTGTTATTTAGAATACACGTATTGGCGTTATGTTGCGACAAAAATGACACTTATATGGGTGAGTTAGTTCGGGACGCGCATGGGCGTTATTTTGAAATCGCTTATGCCATTATGGTTATAATTTTCCAAATAACGCCCACGCCGGTTATTTCAAATACAGTAAATATTTTTTTAAATCGATAAAAGTATATCTCTAGGAAAAAAACCCCCATTTATTAAAATTATATATTTAATCATTTCTATTACATAATAATTGCCACATTCTAGATATTTGGGTATGTTTCATTATTGCATCGTCCAGTACGAACACACCATAAAGGCTGTAATGGCTCTGCCCGCACACCTCGTTCAACCATTCGAAATCTCCAATCATTTAATCTTTTCAATGCATCCTTATCTGGTACTCGTCTATTTCCATCAATATCTACCGGGCCGGACCATAAAACCTCTGCTGCAGCTGA